GATGTTTCCATCAGTTTTGTAGAAACTAGCCCCATAAAATTTTATATTTTATAAAAATTTATAATTTTATGGAATTAGCCCTATCAATGTATTCAACTCATTTTGATTGTTCTCAGTGTTGCAGGTCTTGGTGGCAGGTTGCCTATGTCCTTCCACATAAGTTAATTCAATATGCTGTCCTGCTGTTAACTTTACATGGCCACAGCTGTTCTCTGATACATGACAGCTGCTGGCCTCGAAGGTGGGAATTCTACTCCCTTTGAATTTCTTTGTCAGGGATACTGGGGCAATATCCAGGGCTAATTTCTCCCCACTAGTGAGACAAGACCCCTCTATGTACTTTACCCAATGTCCCATGAGTCATGAAATTTTCCATTCTGGTAGTGGGAACAAGCATCGTTCTCAGTTCTCTGTACTGTTACTTCAAATCCTTTTGTATGGTTCTTTTCCTCACCTTGGGCAACCTCTTCCCACGTATGGGTTGATCCAGGGAATATTCAAGGGGGAGCCTCTGCAGATCTGAGTAGCTGTCTTTTTTCTCATTCTCTGCCCTGTGTACTTTAGCTGCCATAATCTCTCTGGACTCTCAGTTTTGTCTCTTCAGTTCAGAGTGTTTGTCAGGCTCTGTCTTAGTTTCCCATCCCTATCTGTGGCCTGGAAAGTCTCTCAAGGCAGTAAGCTAGGGCTGTCAGATGGCTCATTCTATTTTGTTTCCCATTTCTCAGGGATTACCGTCCTTTATTGTCCAATGCCCACTGCCTTCACAACTACTTTTTTATACATTTGGTCCATTTTTTTGTTGTTTCAGGTGAGAAAGAAATCTGGTCTTTATTCTTCTGCCTTGATTGGAACCAAAGTATAACTTTAATAAGACTTTATTGGGAGTTCGAAGGTAATGAAAAGGAAATAAAATATGACCAATAGCGTACAATGGCAACTTAAGGTAGCTACATTCTGAGTCCGAAAGTCCTGCTGATGTCCTTGTAGCTCCCAAGTCTGAGTCCACACAGCAGTGGCTAGCTTTTCAGCTCTTCCCTTTGCCATGATAAAGTGTTCTTTATCATACAAAACATTTTTACTCCTTGCAATCAAACTGGCTCAAACATTTTAAAAGAGGGTCTTTGCTTTTTTAGTTTGGGGCTTAGTTGAAGTCATTCTTCCCTCTTTGTTGTGCCTCCCCTTCCCCGACCCTTCACATACACTGCCCCCTCCCCTCCACATAACAAAAAAAAAGAGGTCAATTTGCTTCAAAGTTAAATTTAAGCTCCTATCTCTTAGGAGCTTTCATATTTGAAATGGCTGTTTCCCAATTAAAAACAAATAAAACCAAACCCCTAGTGCCCAGTCTCAGGCTGGGAACTCCATTATACCACAGTATGTTATTATATATTGAATCAATTATTATGTACTAGTGCATGTTACATGTGTATGGTATATTAAAACACACACAGAAGAGTGGCTAAAGGCATAACTAGAAATCTTAATTGAATCATAAATATAATGTTAATTATAAAAGTTGAAGGAAATTTGATCTTTAGTACTTGTCCATTTTCATTTTGATTGTTCCTCTTTCTCTGGATGTTTTGCTTATATATTGTTTTCTTTGATTTTTCATGTTTGTAATCACCATAAGAAAGTGGAGTTGTACTTCTGAATGTACCAAAGCAACTTACTATTTAAAAGAACCATGCATGTATCTTTTGTAAAGTGAAGAATAGTTTGTAGTGTGTCTGTTTGGCTAAGAACTTTTTTTTACTTTGAAGTTTATTCATATGATCATATAGAACCTTTGTACATTGGACTTTTGTATATGCAGAAGTTTTCATACATTATACTTTTATATGTACAAGATGTACTTGTATAAATCTTTGTAAAATTTATACCTTAGTAATATATTCAAGCAGGCATCTTATAACGGATTTTTTGAAGATTAAAAAAAGCATATTTGATAGGAAAGGAACAAAATGAACTCAGTAGAAAGTAACTTTCTGAATTTAATTCTTATGGTATTTTCATGATATTTAGTAAATTGCTTTCATGTATGGAATGAGATTTCTTGAAGGAAAGATGTATTTTTTATTTATATGTATTTTAAAAGTGAAATTTCCTTTTTATTAAACTTTAAGGTAAAAATGTTATAAGAAAATTGGGAATTACATTTCAAAAGAATAGACTCCCTACATGTAGACTTTATAAAGCATGGATGCTAATATTCTAGACAGGAAATTTGCTGTACTTTTTTTCTATTTAATTAGGAAACATAGCCATTTTCTTCAGACATAAGGCAATTTGACAGGGAACTGGCTAAATTCTATAAATTGTCTATCTTTGTCAGTAGCTGGAACATATTGCTCTTACCTAGAATATTTCTTGTGTGTCCTCTGACACCTCAGGTGGAGGTAGGTCTTCCTCCTCTGTGCCTCTTACAGGTCTCTACCTGAGCCCTGCTTAGATTATATTATAGTGTTTGTTGACTCTCACTTGTGAACTTCTTGGTCAGTGAAATTGCTCTAGATCATGGATGCCTAGGATGGAGTTATGTTACATAAGGAGGAACAAAAATTTGTCAAAGGAAAATTGAATAATGTTCATTCACATATTCATTCAGCAAAACATATTCAATGTTTGGAATATATTCAAAATAGTAAGTGCTTTTCTAGACCCAGTGAATATTGTGGTAACCAGGACCAGTACAGCTCTTACTTGTACAGTCTTATGATTCAGAAGGAAAAACAGTCTTTGATACAAGTTATTACAATAAATGCTGATGGGGGTTATGATAGGAAGCATAGAGTTCTGTTATAAGACCTGCCTCAGTAATGGGAGTCTGTCTTCCTGAGGAAATTGTGTTTATGTTGAGACCGCAAGTATGAACTGAAACCAGCTGAAAAGGATTGGGAGTATTTCAGAGGAAGGAGAGTGTTAAGTCCAGTAATAGGAAGTTTACTTACTGCATCTTTATCAGTGTATTTCAGGAGTGACGTTTTTTCTCCCAACAATGCTACTTGGCTGGCTCTTCATACTACCTTAACAGAGACAAAGACTGTAATAGTTTTTTAATGTTTAAATGATCTTTTTCTGAGTATGGCTCTTCAGCTAGTTGTTCAACATCCCAACATTCTGAGAGTCAAGAACACATAGTTCTTTTTTGATATATATTTAATTTTAGAATATGAAGTCAAAGACAGTATTCCACAAACGCTATCATAACTTTACAATTCAGAATCATGACAAAAAAGATAATGTTCTTGTGGGAATTCATTTGCTGTCTTAATTTTGGAGGTCACTTTAATTTTTCACAGTCTTCTAGCAGCAATTCTGACTTGCAGAGAAACACAGAAAAATCACCATTTACTGGTCTTAAAAATTGACCATCTCTATGAGAAATTTCCTGAGAATATAACAGCTAATATTGAGTGCCTTTCATGTTCAGATACTGTGCTAAATATGTGTTATAAAATATATTTCACTTAAACATCCCAGAAACAATGTGAGAAAAGTAATATTTTTATCCCTTTCCTATGGATAAGAATACTGAAAGTATATAAGTGTCCAAGGTCTCAAAACTAGAAGTGGCAGATAAGAATTTGATCTCAGAAGTGTCTGACTTAAGAGTCTGAATTCCTAACTTGGTATTGCTCTCTTGTAGTTAAGAGAGCTAAATGTAATATATTAACATGCTGAGACAGCCTCAGACCCTTTACAGGTTTTGTCCACAATAAGGAGCACTAGTCTTTGTTATTTTTAATAATCATAGTTTATTTCATTTTCTTTATGCTGAAGTTCATGAATAAATGAAAACAAACTGTTCATGGAGTAGGGTAGATAAGACAGGCCCTTTCATATGTTGTCGGTGAGATGGCTGTGTTTTGAGACTGTTTTGGCAATGTATATCAAAACTTAAAATTTATTTGCCCCTTTGTCAGCATTTCTATTCGTGAAAAGAATCTATATCTTCTGTATGTTTCATTCATAACATGTAATGTGTTTTCTTATGACCTAAAATCTTTCAAATATATGAATGTATATGAATATACTAATAAGTCATAAAATAAATATATATGAATTTACAAGTGTACATATATATACATATGCACACACTTAAAACATACATTCATAGAAAAATTTCTGGATAGATATACAAGAACTTAATGGGTGTTTTTTGAGATTAGTATGGAAACTAAAAATTTTTGCTCTATACTTTTTAGTATGGTGAACTATATTAATGACAACATATTGCTTTTATGATAAAAATAAGTTTAAATTGAAAAGTTTTAAAAATAGTGGATGTGGTAAATCTTTAATCATTATGTTACTGGGGGGGGGATAAAGAGGAACTTTCTCTCTTCATTTTATACCTTTCTGAACTTTTAAAAATAAATGAATACATGCTACTTTTATAATAAAATTTTAATTTTAAGTGAAAAAAACCTTAAAGATAGTGAACATATTTCTCTAACAAGTATTATGAAATATTATTTCTGTGACTAAGTTTAGGGTATAGTTTATTCATTATATCGACAGTTTAGGATAAATCTGCCTATCTTAAACTTTTATCAGAGAGCTCCTATCTTATTATCTTAAAGGCTAGCTCTTTTCTAGCATCCATTGAGTTGGAAAATAACTCAATGAAAATTCACCTAATTTTTATAAACAAGATTGTTTCCAGTTGAAGTCTTAGTAATGAAACTTTTCATAGCAAATGAGATTCAGCAAATGCAGAAGTTGACAGCAATTTTATTAGATGTTGCTAGTCAATAGAGCACAATTTTCTTGCAGGAAAATGGTATCATGCTTCTTAAACTCCAGAGCATTTATCAAAAACAAATGTCAATTTAAAACTGCATTGTTATTAAGAGTCCGATGTTCTAGTGTCAACTGACAGTATTTTAATATTATGCTTAGTCATGGAATGTACTTGGAGTTAGGTTAGATGATAAATGCTGAAACAGGCATAAGTGAATCTTAAAGCATAACTTCTTTGGGGTTATGTGTTTCAGGTGAAGCTCTGAAAGTATCAGCTGAGAGATTTGCAGATGACCCCTGTTATCTCCCGAAAAGGGAGGCTGTGGTTCAAGCCGCCCGTGCCTTGTTGGCTGCAGTTACCAGACTTCTTATCCTTGCAGATATGATTGATGTCATGTGTCTCTTGCAGCACGTGTCAGCTGTAAGTAAAAGGTGGCTTAGTTTACCTTGGCATTGTTCTCACTTCTAATTCCATTTTCTGAACTTGGCGTCAATCTGAGTGCATCCTGGCCTCATTCTAATTTCTTAATGTCACCCATCAGAAGCTGACTGAATTGAACTGTGAGACTAATGCATACTTCACAAGAATGAAGCCAGAAGTTAGTCTTAAAGCCAATGGGAGACTAAAAAGTAGAAGATGGCTTATTGATAAGGAAATGGCTAGGGCAAAGTTCTAGGCTTTTGACCATTTAAATTATTATGCCCTATATAAATATATGAACAAATATATAATAACATAGTTATGTAGATTTTGGAGAAAATAGATGTGTAAATATAAATAGTTTGGGAAAGAGAAATGTTCAAAAAAAGAGAAATGTTTAAAAAAGGAGAAATGTTTAAAAAAGTTTAAGGCCTGTGGAAGTTTATCCTAGTTTGTAAATGAATACTACCTTGCTAGCTCCTCTTGATCCAAGATGAACAGTGCATATATACAGGTTGTCTGTGTTGTCTGTAGTAATCCATTATGAAAATATATAAATGTACTTAGTAAGAGTAAAGAGTATATTTTAACTAGGAGACTGCAAAGACAGCAAGATATCTTGCTTGCTTTATTTTGCTAGAGAAACCACTTAGACGTTTAGTGGAAGGAGAATTCTATTCAAACTTTTTTCTTTTTCTTAATTTATTTCATCTGGATACTAAATAAATAGTGGACACTATTTATTTAGTATCCAGATGAAAAGAATGCAAAGAACACTTTGGAGTCTCTGCTCTTTCTCCTGCTTTAAATAGGACCCTTTCTCTTCTGTTCATAAGTACATCTATATTTTCATAAAGGTGCTTGGTGACTCCACTGTCACTACTTTATTAAGCAGATGATGGTCTTGTTTGACATTTTTGTCAAAATCATTTGCTCTAATTGCTAAGCTAAACTTTTTTTCTCCATCTTTCTCTTACTTACTAATGCATATTTTAACCCTACAGTAGAGTGACCTTTCCTTTATACTTTCATATTTCTTTTCTTTTGATAGTTTTATTACTGCAGAAAAGCAATTTGGCATCTTTTATTGTTGTTGTTGTTGTTTAGGTAGCTTTTTAAGAAAGGGATTAGTACTCATCACCAGCAACTGTCTACTAGTAGGTCTGTAAGTGAGATATTTGAACAGTGTGTTTTGTTACTTGATTACTGGTTTGTTGAATACCCTAAACAAATCCCTGAGCATTTCTGAGATTCATTTTTAAAAAAATTTTTTTAATTGAGTTATAGTCATTTTACAGTGTTGTGTGAAATTCCAGTGTAGAGCACAATTTTTCAGTTATACATGAACATATATACATTCATTGTCACATTCTCTTTCACTGTGAGCCACCCTGTGCTACACAGTACAATCTTATCTATTCTACATTTTGAAATTCCAGTCCGTCCCTTCCCACCCCCTGTCCCCCTGGCAACCACAAGTTTGTATTCTATCTCTATGAATCTGTTTCTGTGAGACTCATTTTTTTTAATATGTGTATATAGACACTAATAAATGCTATAACGAGAAGTGGTTATGAAAGATTCAGTACCAAGTAATTCCTAGTTCCAATGACCCAATATTTCCTATGTTTTAGACTCCAAATTTGTTGAGATAGGGCAGAATGAAAGGCTTTTTGTAGGATGAAAATTACTACCTTTTTAATCAATTAAGAGGTAACTATGTATAATGTAAGACCACAAGCACCTTTACTACCATTTTAATTGTGTCACAAACTACTAGGCACAGTGCTAGGTAATTCACACACATCATACCATTCAAACGAAGTGGGGGGTAATTGTAGATCAAAGAAAAACAAAGTACTGTTTTTTGTGATAAAAATTATGCTTAATGATTATTGAGTTTTTATAATGTGCCAGGCAATGGTGCTGGATTATTTCTTTTAATTCAATCTTCGCAACAGCCCTATGATTATGATTCCTATTTTATAGATGAATAAAAAACTGGATCATATTGGATTTAAGAAGCTTGCTCAAGGCAATAGGAAAAAAATCCAACTTTTGGAGCTTAGTACTCCAAGAGTTAGAACAGCTTTTACTATAAATAGCTTTCAGAAATGTTTAGACAAATTCTTCGGCCTATAACATGTTGTTAAAGGAATTTAGATATTTCAGGGGGAGGAGTTGTTCTTAACTTTAACCACCCTTTTCCATATGGTTAGTGCCTTGTCAGAGACTGAACTTGGGCTAGATCATTTAAATCACTTAAGTATTTATAATACAATAATGATACGTCATCTCTGAAAAAGGAAGACCTTTGTGGTAAATTGTGATTTTTTAAAAATTATTTCATCCTTATGAAAAATTTATATTTGAATTGTACTATCAACTCAGTTCTTTCAAGGTTTCATATAGAATGAAGGCAAATTGAATTTTTTTAGATTAAGATTAGAATTATTTAGCCCAGCATTTCCCCTGAAAGTATTCTGCAGAACCTGTCTTATAAATATGCAACATGAAAAAAAATTTTTTTTATTTTCAGTGCTGAACACAGAAATTCCCTTTGAATGTTTTTGATGCTGATTAGCACTTTAATGTTGGTGAGAAATATTGAAGCAAAGAAACTTGTTTAACTTTGCTTAACCCAGAGTTTCCCAAATTTCTCGACCCTAGAAATCTTCTATAATATATTAATCCTGGAACCTTTTTTTTTAAAACCATCAATAGCCTCTTTAATGGTAGGAGATAATGGCAATGGACAGAACATCCCAAATCTGAGATAACTTAACTTCTTTTTCAAGTTATTCGTGAAAAATTATTTAATGATATGGAAAACAGTGAAATAGCTGTCTTTCAGATAACATCAATCAAATATTAACACATTTTGAATAAAGTTGTTGAAATGAGCTTCAAACTAACCTCATTGGGCTACTGTATAAATGGTATTTCTTTATTTTATTCTTAAGCATTTTCTTTAAAGGCCTTCCTGAAATCAAGATGTATTATCTGTGGCATCACAGATTTACCAGTCTAGTAACCTCAGTTATAGAGGAAATGAGGTTAGTTTGTCATGACTTACTTACAATAACCCCATAAGAGCTCTAAGCTACCATTGCTTGCTTGCTTTTATTCCTTTTCTGTCTCTCTTTTTTTGAGCTTCATTTTCTAGTTACTCATATTCCACTTATGATTGTAAAGCACTTGTCTGCTGGGATTTCCTTGCCCTTAAGATCTAGATACTAGGCTTGAACCCTCATTCCACGTCCTGTCAAGTATAATGTTCTCCCCAAGATTTCTGCAAATTTTCTTGGGCTCATATTCTCAGGGTCACCTCTAGCTCCAAGCTTTTGCTTCCACAGAACCACTTTAGTTTATGGATGGTTTTTCTAACTCTATTCTATAATATGTGAATTCATAATTGGAAGTTGATCTTTTTCCCCTTTAACCCACCCCCCCCACACTATTACTCCCACAGAAGGCATGTTTATGTATATGGCAAACCTACTAGAAACTTAGGAAGAAGGAAGGGAGGAGGCTCTATAGTGTAATAATAATTTATTCTAAGTGGCTATAATTTGTATATTAGAAGTCTTCAAAATCCTTAGCAACTTCATCTCATTGTTCTTCCATCTCCTTTCTTCCTATCTACTCTCCTTTGTTTTTCCTCACACCCCTACATTTCTTTCATTTGTCACAGTAAGATATCCTATCTCTCCACTGTTGACTTGGCCTCTGGCAATTTGTGTCCTCAGATATCACTGTCCATCTTAAATTACACTTTAAGGTATTTTCATCAATATAAACAATTCCTTTTCTAAGAAGAACTCTGTAGTCAGCTGTCTCTCTTACATCCACACACACATCCTATTATAAAGTAATCTTTGATAGAATTTTTTTAGGGAGGGCATCATCTTTAAATATATGGAATTCGTCTTTTGGACACACACTCTTCTTTCAAAAGCAGTGGGCTACCTTTTTGTTTCTTGTCCTCGTTTGAATATAATAGACAAAACTAAGCAAAAAATCCCTGCTACATTTTTTTTGTATTTGAAAAAAAAATTATAAAAGAAAGAAAAGAGTAAGGCCACTAAAGAAAACACTGTGATAGCAGAGAAATTCTTTGATACTGTGCAATAAAGAATAAATACAAAAAAATGTAGCAGGGATTTTTGTGAGTGTTCTAGGGGAAAAGTCCAAAATGAGCAGACTCTTTCATAAAATAGTAAGATAAGACTAGAGGAGAGGAGGAGAGGCAGGTCTTTGCCCATTATATTCAAACTAGGACAAGAAATAAAAAGGTAGCCCACTGCTTTTGAAAGAAGAGTGTGTTCCAAAGTTGTAGGATATAAAATCAGTACACAAAAATCAGTTGCATTTCTATACACTTACAGTGAACTATCCAAAAAGTGTATTAGGAAAACAATCCCATTTACAATAGCACCAACAAAAATAAAATACCTAGGAATAAATTTAACTAATGAGGCAAAAGACTTGTAATACTGAAAACTGTAAAACACTGATGAAAGATATTAAGACACAAATGGAGAGGCATCCTGAGTTCATGGTTTGATAGAATGAATATTGTTAAAATGTCCATACTACTCAAAGTGATCTATGGATTCAAAGGAATTCATATCAAAATCCCAATTGCATTTAAAAACAGAAATTGAAAAACAATTCTATAATCCATATGGAACCACAGAAAAATAAAAAATAGCCAAATCAATTCTGAGAAAGAAGGAAAAAGCTAGAGGTATCACACTTCTTGATTTCAAAAATATTGCAAAGCTGCAGTAATCAAAACAATATGGTTCTGGCATAAAGACAGACATACAGAGCAGTGGAACAGAATGGAGAGCCCAGACATAAATCCATACAAATCCAGTCAACTGATCTTCAACAAGGGTGCTAAGAATACACAATAGAGAAGTGATAATTTCTTCAACACATGGTGTTGGGAAATTGAATATTCAGATGTAAATGAATGGAATTAGACTTTTATT